AATTGAATATATTTTATCAGGGAAGGTAAGCGAGTGAGGATTTTTTTAAAAAGTTTTTTCAAGTAATGCATGTATATAAGGTTATTATTAAACCAAGTTTGTATTCCTAGGACAAACCCAGAGGGTCATGATGGTGGTTTTTTGGGTTTGTTTTTAAGTCTTTTGCTGTATTTGATATGCTGCTATCGTGTTTAGCATCTTTTAAAAAAAGCTAGAATTCAGAGGTGAGACTCTTCTGTAGTTTTCCTTTATCTTATTATTATTCTCAGGTTTGAGTACCAAGACTCTGCTGGCTTCATAAAATGAATTGAGAATGTTCCCACCCTACTTTGGAGATTGCTGTGCGCCAGTCAGCACTGTGTGGTTCTCGTTCTCCCATAATCGGTGTACATGTTACAGATAAGAGCGGTAGAAGTGAGCATGGCAGGTTGTACGGTCAGTCCTAATGAACTACTTACTTTTGCTTCTTACCTGGTCGCTGAGCCCTGCTGGGTTAGAATTCCCGATAGCCACGTGGATTACTTCAGCAGGGATGAAACAGTAGTTTCATCGAATTAGCAGGTGTGATTTCTACCTGACCATTTTGGTCTCCTTATTCCATTGAATGAACAGGCAATAGTAACCATATCAGCTGGAGTGATTGATGCTGATTATTAGGAGAACAAGGTTGCTGCTACACGGTGAAGGCAAAGAGAAGTATATCTTGATCCCAGGGGATTCAGTGGCACCTCAGGATGCTACCATGTTCAGTGGCAAAAGTGAACTGAGGTCTGTTCCATTCACTGTTCATAGGCAAGACCATCAAAAGGTCAGGATAGTTCAGGAGTGAGCGTTTGGGTTCTCCCATTTCTAGTACTAAATTCTGTTTCAGAAATTAGACCTGGCTGCTATTAACAGATTAGAAATACAAGGCTTACATAGTGTAGTGGTTTTTCAGTCTCACTTAAAATAAGTCTGGATTTTGGCTCTCCATCCAGGGCTGGTATGGCAGCATCATGGCGTCCTGAGAGTCAGGGTTCTAAGCTTGTTTCCTCTCTCCTTTCTGTTTTTATTATATGGGCCATCTTAAGGTCGCCACAGAGTCCAAATGGCGGCTGGAGTTTAAGCTTTCGTGTATCCATTTAAAGCAGGAAGCAGGGGGAAAGGGGGAAGGACAGAAAGGGGAATGCCGATGCGAGGAACAGGAGTGCTGGGCATGCAGCCAGCAGTCTTGACCCCAGGTTCCTAGCTGGGTAAAGGAGATAATTTTAGAAGGCTTTTAGAGTTCCCAGAGTATCTTTGTATTTTGACACTAAAATAGAACTGTAGAACAATATTGGCTAAGTTATTCTTTCTTTGTCTTCATGTTTTCATTGGTAGTTTGGAGGAATAAAGAACATTGAAGAATTCAAAAGCCTAATTTATCCAAGTTGATCTTCATGTGATGTAATTTAGTGATACACAATTTTTAAAAGATAGATTGTTTGCTTTGTGTATATTAAAAAAGTCCTAAGCATTACCATGTATTCTTTGCCATGTTTTTTTCTTCATGGCCTTTCATGAGTTGATGGCTTTCTGTTCACTCTTTTTTTTGCTAGTTCTTAGTAAGTTGTTTTAAAAAAAGAACTTGTTTAATGAGTTTAATTTTTGCCAATTTCTGTGTACATGAGGTTTTAAAAGTTTTTCTTTATAAGTTTTCTTTGATGTTAGTGGTACTATTAAACCAAACAGTCTTTTCCATGCTAGTAACAATTTTTTAACAAAAACATTTACAAGTAAAAAAAAAGCATACTTTATAAAGATGTCAAGATACGAGAGTGCCATCACTGTGGGAGTTAATAATTTTACTTTGAAAATAGCTATCAGTTTAAAGTAGAACTTTAAAAGAAGCAGTTTCTCTGTTTCACGATAATGGTAGCGGCAGATTTTTTTTCATTTACAGATATATAAACCCCACTTGACATTAGAACTGATCTGAAACACATAAAAAGGTTCATTTAATTCCATCTTCACAGTTCAGTATTTATGGGCCAAAGCAAGAAATCTTTATGAAGGACACTGAGAAAGAACAGTCAGATTACCACTACATAGTATTAGTTTACCATGTGATATCAGGAAAACAAAGATTTGTCTAGAGCCAGTTGTTCTACACCTATTTTGAGTCACAGACTGCTGAGTGAATATTGTAGAGTCCTCTCAGAATTGTGTCTGTCCCCCACTTCCTTCCTGAAGGTGTTGATTCCTAGAAATTGTCTTTTTCTGGATAGTCCTACCTGCAACATATGAGAGTTTGGGTTGCCATATGCCTTCATGTTTCTTTATAGTCAGTAGCTGCCCCCCACACTGTTTTGACTTGTTTCATAATAAATTTGTTTTCCCAGTTCTGTAGCTTCCTTAAGTTCAGTCATAGAAAATGTACTCTGTGTCTGGGCTTATTTTTATTCAGCATAAGGTCTGTGAGATTCATCCTTGCTGTATGTATCTGTAGTTCATTCTGTTTTATTACTGTGTAGAAGTCTTTTGTATGAATATTCCACTCAGTTTGCTTATCTGTTCACCTATTAATGGATGTTTGGGTCAGTTCCTGTTTTTTGATCACTGGGAGTCATGCTATTGTGAGCATTCTTGTTGTGGAAGAGTTAAGGCAGCAGACCTGATGTTGGTCAACCCTCACGTATCTTCAGGAAGGCCTGGTTACATGGCTGACCCTTGACCAGCTCTGATATCCCAGTCCTCGGATGTTACCTATGTTACTAATTGATAAGGTGGTTTTGTGATGCTGAACATGGAACCATTTAGTACCAGCTTATTTACGGATTATTCAAAAAGTTTATGATTTATGGGGAACATTTGCTTTCCCTCTTGGGGTCTGTAGTTTTGATAATCACAGCTGGTCACTCAGACAGATGTGCCAATGTTGCAAGTCCCCAGTAAAGCCCTTGACGCTGCACCTTAGGCAGGCTTCTCTGGGCAGAAACACTTGGTATATGTTGCTGTGCTTCATTGCTCGATGAATAGACATATTGGTTCCTATGATTAGTATATGTTTGATTTGGCAATAAAGTACTGGCAGTTTTCTATAGTGTTTTACCATTCTGTGCTCCTTCCAGCAGAGTATGGGAATGTAAGTTATTTTACATTCTTGACAGCGCTTGGTACTGTCAGGTTGATTTTAGCCCTTCTATTGGATCTGTGATACCTCACTGTGGGTTTAGTTTGCATCTTCCTGACGCTGATGAGCACATTTTCAAATGTGCTTGTTGGTCACTTTGTGTATCTTCTACAGGGAAGTCTGTCTTTTATCCATTTTTAAAATGTGTTCTTATGTTTTATTGAGTTACAGGAATTAATTTTATATCATCTTACACTAGTTGAATATGATGCTAAAGTGTAGTTGATCACACAAGTTCAGGAATATGAGTAATGCTTGTGGAAAGTCATCAGGCCCTTGGCCTCTCTCAGGGCTGAGGCCACTAAGTGGCAGGTCCAGTGACACACCGGAGCTGAAGCCGGACCTTATTGCATCTATTAGTTTATCGAAGTTTCTGGCTTGTGGCTATCAGCCCATTAAAAAACTGGGGTCTTTTCTACTCTATACAAATTATTTAGTTTTTTAATCCTAATATTGGTATGGTATTTTGGGTGATTTTGAGTCCCATCCCTTTTATGTTTAATTTTTTAAAGCTTTTAGAATAATTATTTTGATTACTTTTTTGAATGTATGTTCATTTCCATTGGCTCTTAGATTTGTAATGCAAATGTTGGTATCAGCTACTCTTTGGTTTGCAGTAGAAACATTAATATTCAATACTTTTAAAGATTCACTGTCATTATTAGTTTCTTATAATATTAAAAGACTGCATAAATTTCACTAAATATAGTGCCAAAATTCATTATGCTGGCAGTCATATTCTGACTGCTTAGTATGTGGTAACTTTGACCTTTCTATTGGTTATTTAGGGCCCTGCATGCTTTGAGTATTTTAGCTATGTTGCATTTAATGGGGATGTTTCATAATTGGCTTCAGATAAATGAGATAGTGGTAGCAAGTATTAAGATCATGTTTAAAAATTCTGTAACTCATGTAATCAATCCTTTGAACGAAAAGTAATTGAGGTTTTATTATACACTACAAACAAGTGCTTTCCTTTCAAAGAAGTATAGTAATTATCAGCTTTTGATTGCTTTAATTATATTATTATTTTCCATGAGTTTATGTATATGCAAATAAATGTAAATACACCAATTTTAAAAGCAGGTTTCTTAGATTTGTTAAGTCTCAAAATGTTGTTTATGTTGTTTTTATTGTTAAATATGCTATATCTTTGTCAAGTTTAAGTTCTATATTGAATTAAAAGAAGTATTTTGATTGACTATTGGTTGAAAGTATTTCAAATCTAACAGTATTTTAAAGCAGATAAATAATAACTGATACCAGTTAACTTTGAATTTTTTAGTTTTACTATTTTACTCTTCTTACCTTTTCTCTATCTTGATTTGCATAAGATCAGTTTGATAGCACTGCATATTTTAAACCTAGATTGGGGAAAGTATTTGTATCAGAAAGTATCATTTATAGCTGTTTCTTTAACTAGAGTGACTGACAAATGTGTCAACTGTACTTGATTTTAAGTTGGAAGGAATACAAAACTTAAAGTCCACTTAAATGAGTTGGTTCACAAGAAGTTCTTAGCACTGTGCTGAGTTCTTAGTAAGAACTCAGATGTTAGTTAGCACAATTGTTATTGGCACAATTATTACAGTTATTATTGCTAAAAATTGCCCCATAGTTAACTTGAATTATGATTCATTATATAATAGTGCTATTGATTTCTTGGGACAGGAGTCAGAAAAGGCTGATTTGTATGTTATGTATGCATTACACAGAGTTATGGATGTAGGGATCAGATGGGGGAGTGAATTTGGTAGGTGAATATTTATATATACACATAAATATCTATATGATATTTGTTAAGTTAATGTGCATTTAGAAAAACTTAGTTTATTATTTTTTTCCACAGCCTTATATTCTGTTATATTATTTTGTGTGTTTTTCTGGATCCCTTTTGTCTACTTTTACTATGAAGAAAAGGATGATGATGATACTGGTAAATGTACTGTAAGTATTTTTATTTTAGAGGTCTTATAAGGGGAAAAATATTATTTCTTCCTTTCTGAAAGATTATGTGACTTTAGTGGGTTTATTTTAGAGCAGTGTTGTCTAATAGAAATATACTATGACCATATGTGAAATTTTAAATTTTCTAGTAGCCATATTAAAATAAGTAGTAAAAAGGAACAGTTGAAATCATTTTTAGTGATAACATTACAGTCAGTGTAATATGGCCCAGGTAGTATCATTTCACATTAGAACATTAATGAGATATTAAATTTCTTTTTTACAATATTTCTTTGAAATTCAGATTGTATTTTACACTGCTAGCATATCCCAATTCAAACTAGCCATATTTCAAAGTGCTCAGTAGCTGCATGTGATTTGTGACTTACTGTTTTAAGCAGAGCAATTCTAGAGCAGGGATCAGCAAATTTTTTTCTGTAATAAGCAAAGTAGTAAATATTTTAGGCTTTGTGGGCCTTACACCGTTGTCTGTCTCTCAGCTACTCAACTCTGATGTCTGTAGTGTGAGAGAAGCCCAATACTTCATGAGAAAGCATGATGTGGTTCAGTAAAATAGGAGGTGGGCTACCTTTGGCTCACAGGATGTAGTTTGCTGATCCCTGTTCAAGAGCATAAAGAAGGAACACTTGCAGACTATTTTTACTAATTCAGGATAACCCTAATAAAAATACCTGGTAAATATAGAACACATGCATGTCCAAACGGCAGACCATTGTCACTTAAGTATCTGTATAACAATCTTAACTAAAATATTAGCAAATATCATTCAAGGGCATCTTAAAAATACATTAATATAATATAATCAAGTTGGGCTTATCCCTGGATTGCATGGGTGGCTTAGAATCAGCACATCTATTAATACATAGTAATTCAGTAGGTCAGAGAAGAAATTGTACATTGGAAAGTACTTGCCAAAATTGAACATCTTTTTTCTGATTAAAGAAAAAAACAACATAAAAGGAATAAATATCTGTCTTTTTATTGCGTTAGAGGAGTTTGTTTTATAGTATGTTTATGTTTTGTATTTAAATACACAAATGAATGTATTTACTCAAAAGCCAGCATTATGCCTAATGATGCATATTAAAACCTTAAAGCATTTGCCCTAAGACCAGGAGGAAGTACATCAACAATATTTTAAATGTTACAATCCAGGGTTTTAACCAGTGGAGTTTGTTAGAGGAAACAGTAAGATGTTTAAACATTTATAAAGGAAGTAAACATTATTATTTGCAGCAGATATTATGTAACTCTATATTTGAAAACCCAATGTTATAAAAAGGTAAAGTGGATGGTTATTCAGTGTTAAAAATTGAATGAGATGTGTGCTTTCTCTATTCACTTTTTTTAAAGTACATCTTCCCAACCTTGGATGATATTAATAAAATAGGAGGTGGGCTCCATGTTTACTTTACTTTAGTTATTTTTCCTAAAGATTATGTTAACTTTTTTGTGAATAAAATCTTACCATATGAAGCATGCATTTACATTTTAAAAGGTAATTTTTAGAGACTTAATTTGAGAGACAAATAACGTTTTTTTCTCACCGATTTAACATTTTCTTTGCAAATAATGTTTCTTTCTATATTTAGAATGTCCAGCTTTGTGTTTTTGTTTATTTTTGGGTTACATTTTGGCCATCAGGCAAAGCAGAGTTTAAAGACCTGAGATCCTGGTTTCAAGTCTTGTTTAATCACTTAACACCTACATGACTTAAGGCAAATTATTTAATCTCTCTGCCTTTAGCTTCCTTATCTCTTAAATAGGGACAAGAAGGCTTATCTATCTCAGGGTTGTTGTGAGAGTGAAACAACATATGTAAAGTTCTTGGACAGTCCCAGCACGATATATGTTTGATATATTTTTATAAAATATATTTTATATGTTTTGTATACATGTTATATGTTTTATATATAAAATACATGTACATATGCATACACAAATATATATTAATCATTAATTAAAATTATTATTATAACCCATTTTGGTGAATTAGAATAAGAGCATTGCAAATTCTGATTGCTTCCTCTTTTGGAGAATACATAAATATTGTGATAAGTTCTGGAGAATATTTTATTTTTTGGAGAATAAATTTGGAGAATATATTATTAAGTATTGTGATAACTTTATTAAATTTGCCCATTGGAGAATTAATTATGCTGTAGGTATACTGCCTTCCACAAGGCCCTTTCCACAATAACCATTGAAAAGGTTTTAAAATCTAGGGTAGTTTGCAAAATACTAAGATGTAGCATTGTTTTTCTTTAAATTTTATTATTTTTTTTTCAGCAAGGGAAACATTATACCATTGATTATAAAAGTCCATTTGATATGAAAGTACTGTTACACTGTAGCAGGACTATTTTGCATTTAAAAATTTTACTAACTGATATACTTTTCCCCCCTTGACATCTAGCAAATTAAAACGGCCCTCAAGTATACTTTGGGATTTGCTGTAATTTGTGCGCTTCTTCTTTTAGTTGGGTAAGTCTTGATTTTTGTTTCCACTGAGAATGGGAATAGCATTACTTTAACAATAATGATAATTATAAAGACTCATTCAAAAAATTGAGGAAAGAAAATAATAAAATGTGAAAAAAATAAACTGTTTTATGTCACCACCAAGCAGTAACTACACTTAACTGTTTTCTCTGAGTTGTTTGATCTGGACATTTTTTACATTATCAGACATTCAGAGAGCCTCTCGCCGCCTACCCTCCATGTTGAATTTTACTAAAACCAGTGTGATTGCATGTTATGTAGCCAGTGGCGTCTACTTGTTGACATATTGTAGACATAAAGATAATAAATGTAGATACATCAATTTTGTTTGAATTGCATTCTTCTTAGGATACAACAATTTATATAACTAATCTTTCAGGGGTGACTTCTTGGACATTTATGATGTCTGTAGTTTTTCCATTTTTATAACAACAGTTAGATGAAAATCCTTATCTGTGCATCTTTTCCAATTTGACATGTCATTTAAATCTTTGAATTACTCCTTCCTTAAGGTTTTATACTAACATCAATAAAGTTTTGCACATGTTTTAATACTTTAAAAATTTTCTCTTTGGAAAACATTTTTCCTTCTTTATCCTTGTTTTGATTCTTTTGTTTTTTATGTTAGGAAATATGCAAAGTGCTAGTAAGTTTTTTAAAGTTTCTGTTTATAATTGGGTCTTAGAAATTTCAATAAATTAAAAAAACTTAATTTATTGAATACAATTTGTGATGGGAATATAATTGGTCAGTAACTTCTGTTGTTCAAGGAGTTCTTAGAATACAGAGGTTCTTTAGTCAGGGCAGATGTCCGCTTCCCTTTGCCTGCTTTACTGTGTCATGAAAAAAGATCACTTGTTGGAAGGACTTTTTTTTTTGGTTGTTTTGTGTATACTTTAGCTACTGAATATGTTTTTAAAGTCTTTTTTTTGCCTTTTAAAGAAAGCCAAATCTAGTTATGTGAATTTGCTTCATTAAAGTAGAGATCCTGTGTCTGTAAACCTCAATTATCTAGAACAGAGAACAGCAAACTTCCCTTGAAGGGCCTTTAGAAAGTATTTTAGGTAAGAGACCCATGTGGTCTCTGTGGGGCCTCTCGGCTCTCTTGTAGCTCTGAAGTAGTCAGGCACAGTATGTGGACAGAAGGACATGGCCGACTGAGTTCCAGCGAAACCTCACTTCCAGACACAGGCAGTTACTTGCCAACTCCTGATTTAGATGATGACTGAGAACTAATTATCAGTGAAACCACGAATCTTTACAGTAGCCATAACATCTGTCCCAGGCATGGGGTATGCTGAAGTTTACTCTAAAAATTGCTGGTTCTTTTCATGGCAAATAACATTCAGTCTTCATTTAGAGAGTTTACATTTTGTACAATTCTGATAAGCTTTAGTTGATTCTCTAGATGATATTTACTTATTTAGAAACAGTATATTAGAAGTGAAGCAAACGTTTCCTTGCAAATACACTAATAGCAAGAAGTGACAGTTTGACTAGCCATTTTGAGCAATATAACCTTTGCTTATTTTCCAAATATTTATTGTATACCAGACATTGTACAAGGTGCTGATGAAACAGCAGTTAGCAGAAAAGATAACTTCTCCTCATGAAGCATACATTCAGAAGAGACTTGGGGGCACAGAAAGAAAACAAACAGAAAATAGATTGTGTTGGAGATGAAAATTTTAGGGAAGGCACACTGAGAAGGTAGTATTTGAGAAGACCCTTAAGAAAGTGAGGGAGCCATGGATATGTGTGGGCAGAAGAGCATTCTTGTCAGAGAAAACTGAAAGTGAAAAGCCCTGGTGCAGGGAAGTGGCACATTTAAGAAAAGAGAGGAAACTAGTGTGGCTGGATTGGAGGGAATAAAGGCAGAGTGCCTGAAGGTACGGTCTCAGAGGCAACGAGTGCAGCCAGGTTGAGTAGAGCATCATTGCCCATTGTAAGGGCTTTGCCATGTATTCTCAGGTGGGAGGCTGTCAGAGGGGTTTTTGTCGCTGAATGATCTGATATTTTAAAAGCATCTCTGGATGGTGTTTTGAGATTTGACTTCAGTGGGGGTAAAGGTAGAGATGTGGTATCTGTCAGGGAGCAATTGAAATAACAAAAGAAGCTGTTGCGCAGTGATAGTGGTTTGGTTTTTCCTCTCTTTTGGAGAGAGAGCTGGCAGGATTTTCTGGTGGGACAGATTTGTGGGGTATGAGAGAAAGAGGGAATGGAAGGTACACCTGGAGTTAGCCAAATTGCAAAATCTACAGAACACTTCTCACTTGATACCAGCTGCAACTTTGTGGGGTTCCTAAAACAACCCTTAGATTGGATAATTATCTAGAAGGACTCACAGAACTCATGGAAAGCAATTATTCAATGTTGCCATTTAGTACAGGGAAGAACACAGGTTAAAATCAACCAAAGGAAGAGAAACATAGTTCAGAGTCTCCGAGGATTACAAATATGAAGCTTCCATTGTCCCCAGGACACGTTACCCTTCAGGCATTGCCGTACAACAATATGCATGGAGTTTTGCCCCCAGGGAAGTTCACTATGAGCCTTGATGTGCAAGTTTTTTACTGGGACTCTATTATGTAGGCATGTCAGACCGTTTGATTGCCCATGTGATTCTCTGAGCCTCTAGGTCAGCTGATGTCATGTGACCCTAAATCACATGTTTGGTCTTTCTGGGTCACCATGTAAGATCAAGTGTGGCCAGCTCCTGTCCAAGAACAGAGCTGCTTCTATCAGGTATGACACAGTTTACCTCCCTGAACCATGGGCAGATTCATACCTCCTTTGGGTCAAGGCCAAATTCTTTACTACACAGGAAGGGTTCAGTTGTTATCAACTGAAATAGGCAAATATGAAGGAGCAGGGTTGGTGGGGGGATATCAGAAGCTCAGTTTGGTTCCTGCTAAATTTATAGGTATTCAGGAAGAGATATTGAGTAAGCCACTAGAACAGGCATTAGGAAACTCACATTTTAATCTCTGTACTTCTAATAGCAATATCTCACTCCAGTGAGAAAATGAGTTTTATTCTGTATAAAATATGAGAGAGAAGCCAAATGATTGCTAAGTTTACTCCCTGTGCTGCTTGCCCTTTAGTACTAGCACCTTTTGTATAATGTTGGCTCTCAAGTGGGTGGCAAGTGAGAAGGAATGGCGTCCAAAGCACCCATCCAAGTGGAGGGCTTTGATCAAGGTGGAAGGACATTTCCTCCATTGTTATGAGAGGAATAAAAATGAAAAGAGGTGCAGATAAGTTCCTAGGCTTTGTGTACATATGAAAGAGTTCCTCTCTGATTCGCTTCTACTTCCTCATTATTATTGGAGGTGAAGTCATCAGCCAAGGGCACTAATTAGGGGAAAGCATGTGGATTCCTGAACTTCACAAGCCTGCGGTTCATAAATGAAAGATTAGTAGAGTTCTGGTTATCCAGGGTACTGCTCTTCACGTTATCACGTTTGAATGGGGTACACATTAGGGTAAGTGATTAATTAAGTTTCCTGATGTGTTCTTGAAAGTGTTATACTCCTAGTTTTTAAGTGATGTATTTTTTTCTGATAAAACAGTAGATAATTTTATGGCACAAATGTGGTCTTTAATTCACACAACCAACATTTTTGGAGCACTGTTATGTTAGATAGTGGGTAAAACTGCAATATTTCCAGAATCTCTGGCCTGGCCTTAGTGCATCTCCATATCCATAGGTGATTACAAGGGGTGTGGGGAGCAAGAGCACCTCTGGACCGGAGAGGTTGGTGGAGTCTTCCTTTTGCAGCTGGATTATGAGAGACACGGGCGAGCAGAAGTGGATGACTGCTTATAAGCAATAAATGGGTTTCTCCCAGTTTATTTCTCCCTTTGACTGATTTCGGTTTCAAAGGTAGTTTGCCCTAGGCTGGAAGATAGATTTCTGTCCCCTCAGAGTTACAGTAATATACAAGGTCTTGGAGGTAAAGATGGAGGGTCTCGGTCACAGTCCTCAAGATTTACAACAGTGAGAGACACAAATAAATAGCACGAGTTAAAGTATTTAAGAGCTCTAATAAGAGATGGATACCAGGTGTTGATGGTGAAGTAGAAAGTTCCTGCTTTGCGGTGACAATCAGGGATGACCTAAGAGGAAGTAATATTCTACTTGAAATTTTAAAGAGTAGAAACTGGTCAGTAGACTTAACAAAAAGAAAAAAGATGAATAGCATGCATGTGTATTCATCTGCTCAGTGTGCCATAAACAACAGACACTTATTTTCTCACAGTTCTAGAGGTTAGAAATCCATGATCACGGTGTGAGCAAGTTTAGTTTCTTTTGAGAACTGTGCTCCTGGATCACGGACAGCTGCCTTCCCGCTGTCCTGTGTGATCTTCCCTCTGGCTCTCACTGGGGGGAGAGAGCTCTCTGGCATCTCTTCCTCCTCTTATAGGGACAGCAATCCTATCAGAGTAGGGCCCTACTCTTACGACCTGATCTAACTGTACTTACCTCACTAAAGGCCCTCCATCCAGATATCCCATTGAAGGTTAGGGTTTCAACATACGCATTTTGTTGGAACAGATTTAGTCTGCAACATTCTGTTCTCTGGTCCCCCAAAATTTATGTCCTTTTCACATGCAAAATGCATTTATACCATCCTAACAGCCCTGTAAGTCTGGGGAAAGGAAATCCTGGGACAAAATACCTCTTAAAGCTGAAATCAGTCAAAGGGAGAGATAAAGTTTAAAATCCACTTATTGCTTACAAGCTGCAGTCTGGGGCCGTCTCTCTTTCCTGCTGCAGCAGAAGCAGAACTGGCCCCCCCCTCACCTCTCGGGTACAAATAAGCCCTCCTTGCCCAGGTAATTACCCATTGATATGGAGATGAACTTCTCTCCACCCCTGAGGAATGATGCAAATGCACTAAAGCCCTACCTCATTCCACCTCTGAACGCCTACTGATATGCAAATGTACCAAAGCCAAGCGAGATATTCTGGAAATATT